AGGCAGGCGTGGAAGTAGTATCGGGCTGCCTGTGATGGTCAAGTTGGTGTATCCTTCCGATACCGATAACAGAACAAAAGCTTCCGAATAAAATTGACAGTGAGTGTCTTCAGTTAAAGTGCCCGTGTGAGACAGTTCCAAAGTAGAACTCTGGGTGGTTCCATTGACTTTACATTTCTTGGTCACAGCTGTTGGCGAGGGCAGACTATAAACCCAAAAGGAATGAAATCCCTTTGCCTGAAGCCATACAGGAGTAAAATTTTCATTAAGGATACATTTTTGACAATTTTCATGTACAAATTCAATCTGGCCGAAATACAAAGCCGAAGAGCATGATGCTCGAGTCTTATGTATAAATGGAAAAGTGGCTTCACAAATGGCAAATAAACCAAGCTTACATTTCTGTAAGTCTGCCGTCGTTAAAAGTGAGTAGTATTGCCCATTTTCAGTCACTGCCAGATATGATGTTTCTGGTTCTATCTGAATATGTCTACCTAAGATTTTTAATAGACTGGTAAAGGTACACTTATAAAAAGGTTCATAACTCAATCTGCATCTCGTAATGGAATTCGCACTATGAGTCGAATAGCCATCGTGGTGGCGTAAGCTTGCACTTTTGCAACTTTGTAGTATATATACATATTTTCAATTGTGAATCCAGCCATCAGTGAAACATCCTGGGGCAATTTCAAAATAACTTCTGGTAAAATTGCTGATAAGTTATGGGGAGGGATTAAAACTGAAGATAATCTGCCTGTAGCGCTAGTTTCTAACACTTCCTGTAAGCACATCACTGATTTTTGTAATCAGATTGCCATAAATCCAACTCGCGCATAATGCGTGAAACATTTAATTGATAGTCTATCCTATTCTCCAAATTTTTAATAGTGTTATTCCAAATTTTATGATAATTCAAAGCATTAGTGACAACATTTTTGAGAATGCGGGCCACTGCTGCCAATCCAACCGCATTCTGAGATACAGCTTCATCCACTGATTTAAGATAAGTTAATTGTTTCCGAACTGCATGAATGACGTCACCTTCCCTCGTCTTAATACCTTCCACAGCGGTATGCAATTCGTGCAATTGTTGGGTGGTTGCTATCCCAAATAAAATTTTAAGGGCTTCTCCTACTATATTAATTAGTCCTCGTTTCCTTCAGGGGGTTAAGTCGGCATCTGTTGGAACGGGTAACAACCTAGAAAGTGTATTTAGTTCCTGAGCTACTTGATCCACGGCAGCACGTGCCTGTTCCATTTCTTCCCAATTGATAAATTTTCCTTCCTGTGTTCGATGAGTCCAGCTCCATTCAAACTGGTTAAAAACTTGCTCGATGAACTGTAGGGCAGTTTGGTACCACTGAATATCGAGATTGATCACCAGATTCCAATAGTTTCCGGTGACTTAAAAGTTCACGTTCCCGGAGAAATACAAGTCCTTTATCCAAGTTGGGTGTGTTTCTTACTCCAGAAACTATACTTGAAATTAAACAAAGTCTTCAGCACTCGGGAAATTTTTATCTAACTTCTCCTGCCTGGGAGTGGGCGAAGGTTATACCTTGGGAGTGGTGCATCATTGTTCTCCCCTGTCTGATCATCTGCTGTCTCAACTGTTGGATTTGTGAGTGGTTCGGGTTCCGCAACCACAGTATCGGTTTGTTCCTCAATCACTTCCTCGGAAGGGTCGTCGGACGTTGCTTGTGTGTCTGCCTGTCTGTTTCGCAGCCAATACCTAGTTCTGGGTTCTTCCCTTGAGTTAGAACTTCCGCTGGCCGTTGTTTGAACCTCTGGGTGTCCTCTGGGTTCCCAAGTGGGGTCCTGACTTTGATCCTCCTGTACGTCATTACTCTCTACCGGTGGTATAGGTGTGGAGCCGCTGCTGTTAACAGAATCGGTATATGGAGTGGGTGTGGTCACTTCCTCCGCCGTTGTTTCCTGCCCTTCACCGTTTCCTAGTTCGGGAGTCAGACCTTCAGTGGGTCTGGGTGACCAATGGGATTCTTCTCGGTAACACCGCTTCATCTTATTAACATTTACCACTATTTCCTTATTCCGTGCTACTCTAACAAGATAATTTAAATCAGACAGCCTCCTCACTATTTCATATGGGCCCCTCCACCTGATTGGGAATTTCGGACAGCTTCGTTTACGTCTCGTCATGTCTCGCAGGTAGATCAAGTCTCCCGGTCGAAAAATGATTAATCTCGTTCCCTTGTCATACTACTGCTCCTTCTGTCTCTCCCTTCCCGTCCTGTTGTTTTCTTGTGTTAACGCGGTGAGGTTCCTCAAGTCGATCGGCAAGTGTGTCGATATGACTTCGAATTGAGTCACGACCGTCTGTCGGTTCCTTGTTCACGAATCTTGCCGTGGTGAGATCGTCTTCCATCTGCAGTCGCATTTGTTGTCCATGTAACAAATAGAATGGACTGTAGCGAGTGACGGAGTGCGGTATGGGCCTATGCGCCATCAATGCATAATTTACAAATTCATCCCAGTCACTTCCGTACTTGTTAACACAGTGACTCATAGTTTGATTGAGTCCTAAGTGAAATTTTTCAACCTTCCCTTGCATCTGCAGATTGAACGCAGTGGAGTTAATTCGCCTTGTTTTTGAACAGTTTACACGTCTCCTGAAATAATTCTGACATGAAATGAAATCCCTTATCTGATGATAGCGTCTGAGGACAACCTAACCTCGAGAAGATTTCGGTGACAAGCGCTCTAGCGACTGTCGGTGCATCTTGCCTGGGTATGGGAATAGCTTCTGGGTAGCGGCTGAAATGATTGATAAATGTAAGAAGGTATCGATGTCATTTCAAATGGAAAAGTGGTCTCAGGTAACTCTCCCAACGGTGCAATGGGCGGTCGCCCAGCTTTCAATTTTGCACATGAGTCGCACTGTTTAACATATCTGCCAATGTCCCGATCCATGTTAGGCCAAAAATAATTAAGTTTCGCCAAATCACGAGTCTGCTTTGCCCCTTGATGTCCGGCGAAAACCTTATCGTGGTGTAATTCAATAATGGGTTGCCTCAGTGTCTCCGGTACGAACAGCCTAGCGTGTCCTAAATTCTTCCCCGCATACAAAAGTCCATCTTCACTAATCATGTAACCGGGTTTGATGCCGGTTCGGGCTTTGGCTATTAGTTCCATGCCGTGTGCGTCCTGCTGTTGTGCAGTGAAAACAGTCTTACGAGTGAGCGCCTCTCGTATGTTATCATCGGGTGGTTTCCGGTCTCCATCTGTAACAACGGAAGCGATATGATGCGACAAGCAGTCCGCGTTTACATGTTTCTTTCCTGCCTTATGTTCAATTTCGAACTCGTATTCTGACAATTTTAAAACCCATGTCGTTAACCGAGCACAGTGGTGATTTTTGACAGTGATCAGCCTCTTAAGAGCGGCGTGATCCGTGACAATTTTGAATTTCCTACCATACAAAAAGCATCTGTGAATTTGGGTACGAAATACAACAGCTAGCAACTCCTTCTGTGTAGTACTATAATTTCTTTCGGCAGCGTTCAGCATGCGGCTAGCAAAGCTGATCGGCCGTTCCTTGCCATTATGCAGTTGGCTCAGAATGGCGGAAATAGCGTAATCAGAAGCAACTGTACTGAGAATAAATGGCTGACCAAACCGAGGGTGCGCCAGCACTGAGTCGGATGTTAAGGTGGCCTTGTGGTTATCAAAAGCCTGATGCTGCAGTTTTGTCCACACAAATTTCTCATCCTTCTTGGTCAGTTGCATTAAGGGTCGGCTCATGGCTGCATAACTTCGAAAGAAGGATCGATAATATCCAGATAAACCCAAAAATGCTGTCACATCCATAACATTCTGAGGTCGTGGAAAGTTCTTAATAGCCATAACTTTGCTTGGATCTGGAGCAATACTGACTTGATTCACTATGTGTCCCAGATACACTACATCCGGTATTGCAAAAGTGCATTTGGCTACGTTCAGCTTAAAGTTAGCGTCTCGTATGCGGTCGAACAGTAGCCTCATCCGTCTTACATGGTCTTCAATTGTTTCACTGAATATCAGTAAATCGTCCAGGTACACAAGTACCTCGATATCACGTAATCCAACTAACATGGCATCACCCTATGTTACACCATTTAACGAGAATTTGCATGGCTCACAGTGACCTGAATATAGGCAAGTACTCACATGACCTCCACAGCCATAAGATGGTGCCGAACGTTGGTCCCTTCATGTCTGACACTAACATTGGTTCTAGGAGCAACTGTTTATTCCTTCCAAAGCAAGGCTTATTCCTGCACTGTAACTGGGGCTTTTATAGGGTTCCAGGGGGTCGCGCAAGTACTACCCACGCGGGGATCCGCCCTGAAATAGCCTATTCTCATTGGGTGTTCATTTCCCTCTTATCAACTTGCCCATATCCAGTCACTTGGCTGGTGCATGATCCTCTTCTGCTCGCACTTTGGAATGGCTGACTGGCGGATACCGCACACACTCATTGGTATGATCTCATACGTTTTCCGGTCAGTCATCCTGTTGACCATCCCATCCATTCCACTGTGTCTAGGTTCCAAAAGTGGTTGCCACCTATACCGTGGCATAACAATAATTAGTTAAGCACAGGGAGAATTTAACTTTACCTTACCTCATTTATTATTCAATTTCAGTTGGTCAATAATCTCTGTTATGTTACATCCATTTATGGTTGTCCTCAGCTTAGTGTTCAAATGCAGTTCTTTCAAAATAATCCTTAAATGGGAGTTTCAATGTGTACCTTATGTGCATAAAATAAAGCTGTCATTAAGCTCTTCAACTTTTATTTCAGACAGTTTTCAAGATAGTGAATATTTAATATTCAATAAAATAGAAAAATAGGTTGTTTATGGTAAGTAAATCTTCAACAGTAGATTTGTAACCACAGAAAATGAAAATCAAGGTCAGTAAAGTATGGAAAAATGTGAGGAACATATTTGGATAATACATTACACCAGATCAGCGTGTCTTTCCATTGTTTGTTACAGGATTCTCCCTCAAGTTCAACGGGTGGCTCACAGCGTCGTTCACCTCTTCTGCTCTCTGAGGTTCATCTTCCCACATTCACCCAGTTTCCAGTTGGCCGGAACAGTAGCAGCATCCTGAAGGATGTTCTGAAGGACAGCTGACATCCAGAGTTCCTGTAGCTGTGTTCCCACCAAACTTCACAGTTCTTTATGTGAAATTTGCATGTAACAATGTGTATGAATATAATGAAAGAAGTAGCAGGTTTAAGAAATATGGTCAGAGCTTAATTATTTATTGTATTATGAGGAAACCAAAATTATTGCATATTTATAGTTAAGTGACATAACAGTGAACAAGGTGACTGTCATTTGTAAAATATCACATGGAAGAAGTAATGAGGTAAATGTGTAAGATGAAAACTGAAGAGCGCTTACAAAGCAAGGGTCAAAGAGAGATGGATAGACAGCACCAGATATTTTGTACATGCTTTAATCTTATTAAAAAGGAAACAGTAGTAGTGCTGTTTGTATGTTTGTACACATATTTTATAAATGTTTGTTGTGGTCATTTCATTAAAAACCAAATAGTAGTATTCCTATCTTCAGAATATTAGGTTAGTGGCATATATGGCTTGTATCAATGCAAATGTTAAAGGCATGTGATTTAAGGCAATGAATGCAAAGCGTGCTGCTGCCACATATTCTGTGTGAGAGCAGAACAACAAGACCAGTTCTCTCCCTTTAAATCCAGCATGGTAATAGTAAGTACTGATGATATTGTATGATTGAAAAAGTCAGATGTTTTGTACCTTCTATAACTGATGAAAGTGCAGTTACTGCCTGTCACCAAACTGCAGGGAACATCTAGTGGCTCATCTTCATCCTTTGTTTCACTCTCCTCAAGTCACTATCAGCTCTTAAATTTGTAGTGGTGCACTGTATTACTTCATCCCAAATATGTCTGTGAAAATCTTCCTCATATAGTTGTTCAGCATGTCCTATTCAGGAAACCCACTCTTCCTTTGTAACTCTGCCCTGGGCTTATTCTATCTTTCTAAATGTATTGCTGCATTGTGCCATTCACCTTAGCGTGTGTTGTTTTGATTGGGTTATACTAGCAATTATAAGGGGATGAATAGTGCCAAGCGGCACTGGATTGCCATCTGGTTCAGTTTGTATAGTTTTCCTCAATAGTTTGCTTGCGGACTGAAATCACAGAGTTTTTTTTTTATATGCTTCAGCCCACTTAATGAACTCTGGGATAGTTTCTAGGGGATCATACTCTACATTATGCTTTTGTGACAAGTCTGCCACTAATTACCAGTTGGGGCAAGCATAAGTCATTACTGTTCTGATCAGTGCTTTATGGTGGGATAATGTTTACGCTTAAATGTTCATTTTCGAATAGGGATTAGATTCTAATGTATGTTCTGAAGGTCTTGGCTTTGAATCATATTCATATGCAGTCGCCATGTAATCCTGTTTTCAAAGATTACATGATTGATGAAGGCGACATTCCATCCATTCAATGTAAGATGAGCCTCAAGTTACTTAAGTCTCTGAGAAAAGTAGGTGGCCTGAATCTTACATTCATTGATTTTTATGTTCAAGCGCTCACACCACATCTCAGTATCACTGAGATCTCGCTGCAGCTTATGGAGAAAGTAACCCACCTTGTGGTCTGTTGCATATATACAGGTGTTATTCTATGTAAGGTGCCCCCATTATATAGCCTTACCACTAGGCCATGCCATAGCTGAAACAGTTCGTCGCTGGCTTCCCACTGTGAAGACCCGGGTTCAAACCCAGGTGTGGTCAAGTGGGATTTGTGGTGGACAAAGTGGCGCTGTGGTATTTTTTTTCCGAGTACTTCGGTTTCCCGCATCAATCTTCATTCCACCAAAAATTCTCCATCGTCATAATCACCCGGGGCAGGTACGGTAGGCCAATCAGTGGCCGCAGTGCTGAGTGGATCCAACTGGACTTCACCTCCCCACACCCCCACTATGCAAATTTAAAAATTTTTTTATCCTTGCCATAGATGACACAAAACGCCACTTCCAAGAATTCCTCCATTGTCAAGTGATGTAACGGGCTATTGCCTAACAATGGCCTGGGTATTGTTGACACAGAAGTGTATTTTGGTTGTTCTGGAAATGTTTTATCAGCCGTTACCTAGCAGTGAATGACTTTTCTTGTTGAACTGTTCAGACTTTCAGTCGTCATGTCACAGTATGTTGGTTTTCAGTTCATCCAGGTGGCATGGGTTATTGCAGGAGGGATTTTCTCTAATTTAGCACCATAGAAAAAATTTGTTGGTTACAAATCCAATGAGCATGGGGGCCCATAGTCCTCTTGGAATGATTCAGTCTGTGAACAACAGTGATAGCACATTTCAGTCTGTGTCACTTTTCCTATTGGTCTGAACTGTTTCACAAACTTCTTTGTCGCATTTTGCTGGTGCAAGACATCCAGATCAGTGGCTGGAATTGCTCTGGATTGTTTGAAATGATTCCATTATGAGGCGAGACTACGTGCTTCTGTACACTGAACACCATATTTTTTACTGCTTGCACTGTGTACTGTGCATACAAGTTTCACCACAGTGATCCTAACCTTCTAGCACACCATGATATTAATATTACTGACATTGGGTTCCCATTGAAAAGAATCACTGTCTAAGCATCACCACAGTGACATTTGTTACGGTGCACACTAGGCAATGCAGGCGAATTCCCATTGGTTAATGTCCTATATACCTTTAACTCCTGTGTCTCATATAGTGATTAACTTATGCAGTATTCTGGATATGAGACAGAAGTGGTGAGAGACTGATACATAGATTGTCTTTCTATGCCATGAGCTGATTTGATCAACTCAGCATACTTACATTAAAACTTGACAGCTGAAGAGAAGCTTCATGTTAATCACTTACAAGGGGACCTCTGTTTCAGCACCAGTTTCACAGCAAGGTAGTGTACCTTCCTTTTGACTTCCTGGCCAAAATATTAGGTGTCGTCATTCCACCATTTCTTTATAATATGTAATTTTTCTTCTCACGTTCTTCACCGTTCTTCTGAAGCCTCAGAAATTGAGGTGCAGATATTGAAAAAATCTGGAACCAGTTTTCCAGTTTTTCTGTAAGATGCTGAAATGCACTTGTTTTTTCTGACATAGTTAGCACTGGTAGTTTACTAACATTGGTCAAAATATGTAGTGGAAGTTTAATAATAAAAGTACAGACCAACAAAGATAGTTGTGTTAGTGATCGCAAAGAGAAATGTAGGCTTTACTAATAACCCAGTATGACTGCTTTTGCTATCTGAAAGTTCCCAGACTGTTATTATTGTAACTACCTTGGTGAAAGACGGTGAGAGGGGAGGCTCAAGCCACAAGCATGATGCTTGACTGATGTACAAATTCTGGTGTTTAAAGTGTCTCACACTGCTCATTCTCAGATATGAATAAAATAATGAAACTTTATGTCCTTCAAGCCATTATGGACAGGGTGATTAAAAAAATTACCTCACTGGAAACTGAACCACAGCACATGCAACATAAGTAAGCACTGCCAAGTGAGCTACTGTGGACAGCGTAAGAAGAGTGGCTCCATTTGTGAGGCTTAAAAAAACATTGAAGAATGTGAAAAGAAAAATTATGTACTGCAAGGTAACAGTGAAGTATTAACACCATATATTTTGGCTAGAATATCGGTGTATGATCCACTGTCACACTGCAAAATTGGAGTGAAATTGACAAGTTTCAAGAAAAATTGCTAGTACAGCATTTCTATTAATAAATGATGTTAGTTGTGCTGTACTAGTATTTAGAGGATACATGTGGTCATTTGAAGGTAATTTGAAGAGGACGAGTGGGGTTTCTGTGGAACTGCATTTACACACCAGCATCTATGGTGTTGAGAGCAGATAGTTCTGGGACAGGCATGACAATCAAAGGGTAAACACATTAAAAATTGATACCAGTGCATGTGCATTGGATTACATAAATTCTTCGAATTTTAACTTATTTATTAAAGAAAATCACCAATTCTTGAACCAAACACTTCAGTATATTTGTGTCACATTCGAATTTGATTGTCTCAGAACCTACATGAATTATGTGCTGAAATCTTGTTATAAGCTGCAATATTACTTCTGCATTAGGGAAATACAACTGAATTGTAGCCTTTGAAGATGACATGTTAAAGAACCTGGTCCCTTGTCGAAATAATTTTCTTTTATATAAGCATGGAAGTTCTTTACTTCCCTAATCAGGTTGATAACATCGTCAGGATAGTCTTTCATCAGAAAGTTTACACCTACACACATTTGTTCTTCCAAGGCTTCTAAATCAACCAGACAAATATTTCCATATCTTTATAGCATATGAGTTCTGTTTCCTTGGGCATCTGTTATTGGAATACATTTTGCTCAGAATTTGTCTCTTGGGGAGAGCCTGTTAGCATTAGATGTATCTCCATCATTTATATACTTTTATTTTTTGCTCATTGTCTTATATTCACCAACTTGGAGTCTACATGAGGCAGGTTTTCTTTCACAAGCTCAGTTTCATTAATATCTTGTCAAGTTTAATTCATGAAATAACCTTTCTGGATTTATGGTGGTGATCTAACAGATAATTCCAAGGTTGACTGGAACACAAACCCAGATTTTCTCTGAGACTGCTAGGTTCTCCTAAGATCTAAATGTTTGTGATGTGGTGTAGTAATACAGTTATTGTGTTTATCAGTGAATCAGTTTATTTGTTCCAAGAATCCATATTTGGTGTTAAACCTCCGGATATAGAACAAGTCAATAACTTCAAATTAATATAACATACATATTGTACATGAGGCAACTATACTATAAAACTTAACTACCTACAGATTTCATACACATCACAATTATACAATACATCATCCCACTTGCAGAAATTCAATAAGCAAAAGAAACCCCTGTATCCCGAATTTATATATTTTTAAGCCATCGGATAGAGAACACGTCATATACATATATTAGTTCTGGACACAGAACCAGTCGTCTTACAACAGCATTCATAAAAGATACAATAATTATACATAATTCAGTAATTTGACAATATTTCTGAGAACTAGAACTAGTCCTCTTACAGCTGCAGTCACAAAAGAACAAATATTAGCAATTCATCAACCATACTATTAACAGTCATACGGTGTAAAACATATCACACTTATATACACATATATATGATAGTTCTGAAAACAAAACCAATCCTATAGTCACATTCTTANAAAGAACAAATATTAGCAATTCAACAACATGCACAATTCATCAACCATACTATTAACAGTCATACGGTGTAAAACATATCACACTTATATACACATATATATGATAGTTCTGAAAACAAAACCAGTCCTCCTATAGTCACATTCTTAAAAGAACAATAATAAAACAATTTAACATCTTAACAACATGAGCAATTTATCAGCACCTTACTAAGCTCACATTTTGAAAATGCATATAAAAGTATGAAATTAATACCTTATACAGTATACCATATAAACAGCATTATAAAAGGTTCAGTTCGTCTTATATTTAAAATACTCTTCCAACGTATAAAATGAATGGGAACACAAGAAGTTTTTCAATTCTAATTTAAATTGTTTTGTATTATTGGACCGATCTTTTATTGTGACAGGTAAGCTGTTAAACACCTTAACCCCAGCATAATAAATTCCCTCTTGAAAGACTGACAAATGAGTCAAAGGGTGATGCAAGTCAGATTTATATATTATATAAAAAGTTTCAGAGATAATGGAGGTAGGAACTACACGTAGCTGTGTCAGTTGGGCCCAACTGAGTAGGTTTCACCCAAGGATGGAGACAGAATCCAGTCTCCAAAAGGTGTATTTTAAATAAAAAACAGGATGACGAATAATGTCCAGAAAAATAATAATTTTGCTAGCTTCTCTTGTATTTTTTTTCAGGCAGCATGGATATGAACAAGAGCTCCACCAACTGAATTATATTGCTTAGCTAGGAATTTAAGTACTAACCAGTGTTCAGTAGAGGCAGAAAGGAACCGTGTACTGCAACTATTCAGCAATCAGCCGCAACACTGAGCAAATGTCCAGCATGTGGGAAATATATATAGCATATTTACCTTTCCCCAGAAGTGTCTACAATAGGCCATTATATCTACCTACCGTGTTAAATGTATTATCATGCAACTGTCTACACTTACGGGAGTCAACTTTGCAGTGATACAAGCCAGCACTTTTTTGGCCATATTTTCAACACCATAATTCAGGGAAAATTAGAAATGGTTCAATGGTAAAACCAGCAAAAATGATACATATCTAGGAATTCCAGATTTTTATAATGAAAAAGAGGGAGAATCTGAACCATCATTAAGTTGTATCACTGGGAGGGTGCCAGAAGTATGATTACTGATTAAAGTGTAAAACCTTACTAATTATACACATGACCACATCACTATGCAAATTATTTATTGTTTATGCATTAGTAGGCTATAGACACAAACAGGCTCATGCTGACTTTACACATCACCAGCTGGTACCACTTTCTGTATTAAACACTCCAATTAAAATAAATTCCAACAAAGACTAATCCAGTGCAGAAATAAAAGTAAAAATGAGAACTCCTGTGAAGAATATGAGATTCTCACGGTGGTTATCAAGTGTACGGTTCTGGGATATAATGCGTAATCCGTTGGATGTCACCCAGAATTTAGGAGGAATGTATCAATGTTAATGAATGTTAATCAGAGTTAGTGAGCAGAGGAATATCCTACATGAAATAAGAAAACGGAAGGCTAATTGGATTGGTCATGCTTTACGCAGACACTGCCTTCTAAAAGAAGCTATCGAAGGAAAGATAGATGGGCGGATAGAAGTGACAAGACAAGGAAGAAGACGTAAGAAGATGCTGGATGACCTTGGGGACAGAAGAGGATACTGTCATTTGAAGGAGAAAGCTCTAGATCGCATTAAGTGGAGGACCTGATGATGGTGATGATGATGTATCAACTCCATCTTTAGGGTTGAAGAACAAGCAAGCAAGAAACCAGCATGAATCTAGCTGTTTCATTGTTTGAACTTCCTCAGTAAAGGGATCAGGCCAGCAGATAGTTGAATTCTTTAGAATTTTCATTTCATGCATCCTGTTGTGTTATAATGTACAACTTCTTTATTACAACCAACACAACAGTTGTTTACATTCCCTACAGAATGAACAATACTTTGTAAGATGAGGCACCGACTAAATAATTAACATTAATATTACTACATCTACATCACGAGCCTCCAATACATTTTTTATACACAAAATATAGAATGTTCCAATTTGACCATGGGAATGCAACAAAATTACAAAAACCAGTGACTGACTCAATGATGTAAAACATTAATCGAAGAATTTTATTCTTGTTTTATATAATCTGATTTATTTTATTTTTATGTCAAGTATTTTATAAAATTAATAATATTGTATCCAATTTTACTAGTATTGTGGTTCAGTGATGTATATACACCACTGATAACCATGTATTTGCCTGATGATGGCTATTAATAGCCGAAACGTGTAGCAGAGCCAAAACTAGGCACTGATCTTGATATCAGTTGTGTTGTGACGGTTATAATAAAGAAGTTGAATTCTTTAGAACCCGCAACAGTGAACTTACTGAAGCAGTCCAAATATTGGGAACAATTTTTGTATGATCAAGGTTCTTTGAAATTAATAATTTAAGCTCATAATTAGTTCCCCCCTCGAAAGTTAGTACCTCTCCTGGTTTAAGGAGTGCAGCTCAGGCCAAGCCTGAAGCCAGCTGCATGGCAGTAAATCAGTCCAAGTTAATGGGAAACACGAAACCAGGCACTTTCTAAATTCTTTGACTGGTACAGAAGTTGTAATTTTAGCAGCGTCTTTCTGGACCCATGCTACCCAAAATTTTAGTTTGATGGATATATAGCAGGTGGCCGAGTTCAGCTACTTGAGTTTTTTCTAATTGCAGGAGGCAAATTAAGCAGCCTCCCAGCTTGCCCAGTCCAGCCAGTCAAAATCTGAAGCGGGACCCTTGCACCAAAATTGTTGTAAACCAGGGCAGATGCTTATCTCCGTGGATGCTGAGTGGAACACTCCAAAAATTACAATATTATATTTAAGCATCCTGTTGCACTCTTTACGATAAATGATATGAACTCCGTCCCAAGTGCAAACAATAAATTATATGTCCTTGATCTTGCTCTCCTTTACACTACATGTTTCGGCCTCAAACGGTCATCATCAGGTGTATACACTCACGTTGCTGTTACACTGCACTTAGTTTAAAATTTAACATTTAAAACACATTGTTCCTTTCGTTGTTATTATCAACATCTACTTCGTTGATATCTGTCTGGTTTATAGATTATTTTTGTTACACACGTTGGCACTTACAAAATCTTTAGTTCTAATTTTAAATTCCTTTAAAATTCAGAGAAAAACATTTTAAAGGAATTTAAAATTCGAACTAAAGATTTTATAAGTGCCAACGTGTGTAACAAAAATAATCTATAAACCAGACAGATATCAACGAAGTAGATGTTTATAATAACAACGAAAGGAACAATGTGTTTTTAAATGTTAAATTTTAAACTAAGTGCAGTGTAACAGCAACGTGAATGTATACACCTGATGATGGCCGTTTGAGGCCGAAACATGTAGTGTAAAGGAGAGCAAGATCAAGGACATATAATATATTGTTTGCACTTGGGACAGAGTTCATATCATTTATCCAAAAATTACACTCACCAGAGGTACCCACTCAGCACATCTCGGACCATCTGTTTGTTTTTCTCAAATTATTGTTATCCTCAGTAAACAGGGTCGAACCCAAGTTATACCCTTAAGTTTGATTACTACTGTACTTCTGTAACACTTGTTAGTGCAGTTAATAAATTTTTGAGAGCTATTAATCGGTGTTTGTGTGTGAATGGTTCTGCACCTGAATGCGCTCCTGGTCACCCAGGTCGCGGTCAGTCAACACAACCTGAGAGGAGTCAATTTCTCTCCCTGAGCTAGGTACCTACATAACTGAGAGCGCAAAATATCCGGACTCATTAGCGATAAAAGTCAGGATCGTGGTGATATATTTTCAATGAAGTATTATACCCACATCTGCACGTTTAAATTTGAAGTTCCTTGATACTGCTGTTTTTAAGCAAGTTGTCATAATGTGGCTGGGAGAGGGAAGAGAATATGAAGGATTGCCTAATATGTCTTGTTGCCCATTATTTCATCTTTTCGTGAAAATGTGTGGAATGAATACCGAAAGAGTTACATATTCGAGTGTATGGTTATTGAAAGATGTTGTCAAGATCTGAATCATGTAATATACATGTGTCCTTTAACAGTGCCCGCCAGTTAAAAAATACGTAGAATGGAAAGGAAAAAAAGTTTGTTTTTTTTTGTAACAGATTGTCAGCGTTAAAATACCGGTCGTATATATCGGCGCTTTGCTAAACAAAGATGGAGGGAGAAGATAATCGTCTCGCCATCTGACCTCCGTTGACAAAATCCTGGTTATATTATTTTTACGATGGTAATAACAAATATCAAGGCGAAGTTACGAAGTTATACCTACTAAAGCTCATAGCAACAAGCGGAGGAAAACTTGGATTAAATTCAGAAGTTTCGAAAAGCGGTACAGATATGCCCCGCCATATATCCAGTTGGGACACGGAACACAGTTCCCAGAATCGGGGCTCCTGGTATCGCTGGATGCTGGAGGGAGGATTGTTGAAGTCGTTGAAGTTTGATTGTAGCTAACCTTTTTACGGACTTGAGACGCTTGGCGGTGGATACGTGACGTCAGAATCGTCAGAATGGTCAGAATATACCGTCTACTCGGTCGACCCGGTCTACCCTTCGTTACGCTGGAACACTGGAAGTTCTATACGTCATATGTAACGTATCACGGTAATGTTTCAGAGTTGAATGTGTGTTGGATAAGCGGGAGGAGCGGGAGAGCCAGGTGAACTTATTGATTAGTACTTATGAGGTACGTATAGTTGTTTTTCCTTTGAGGAATGTAGTTCGATGTACTTATCGTGCTGTTACTGACCGCAGTTCACGGCCGTTGCGGGACTGCAGAGCGCTGGTATAATACCTTTACAATTTGCAAGAATGCGATATACATGTGGATATAAGGGAGTATCATGTGTTTCCTTGTATTTATTGAAGCTTGTATTTCACAATATCGTTGTGCTGTAAATATATAGAGACAGTTATATGTATCTGTCTACCTGGAGTTAGAACTGAAGTTAAAAGGTTATTTATCGTCACATATTCCCGGTATTTGGTATTAATTTTCTTTTTCGCTGAAGATGTGACAGCTACCAGCAGGGCGCTTGAAATCAAACAGTAATGTTCAATTGAAGGAAACTATTAGAATAATTTTGACTGAAGCGTAAGTGACATTTGCTAGGATGATAGAGGATGTGTGAGCTTTGAGTGACAGTTATGAAAACTGTTGTATCTAGATAGGATGTAATATTTTTTTTTTTGTAGGATAGGTTAAAATTTTTAATTTTGGCATATGTGTACTTTAATATAAGTTGGTTGGGAACTAGATTGAACTGGCTTTGGTTTCTGGCTAGTGGGAGGCGTTGATGTTAGCTGCATTGATGTTCAACAACAGGAGTGTCAATTTGCAATATTCTGGTCACTGGCATGGCTAGTAACTAGAAGGAAAACATATTTAATAACTAGCCAATGGAGGAAAGGGGCTTGTATGTTAGAATGTTTTCTGTTAAGTATGTATATTTCTGGTTATATTATATAGGTCCCATGTCACCATAGCATGGCATGTCCTCAATTTGTGAATGGAGGAAGGGCCCTCCAAATATGGAGGGTAACTGCAAATATAGATTTTCCTATAGTTTTGTTGGTCTGTGAAATTATGGGAGGAACATAGATTCAGGGTGTTTGAGAACACGTTGCTCAGCAGGAATATTTTGAACCAAGAGGGATGGAATGATAGGAGGCTGGAGAAAACTCCATAATGAGGAGCATCATAAATACTCAGATAGACTTGAAAGGATTCTGACAGTGGTGTATACACTACTTCTTTTGGTTTATTTTGGACTTCACCCATCGTCTGGTATGTGAAAGACAAAGAAACACGACGTTTCGGAGACTGGATCTGTCTCCGTCTTCAGGTGGATAGGGAAGGATAAACCTACTCAGTTGGGCCCCTTAGAAAGAGCTAATCTCAATCACTGGATTGAGTGATAGGATCACTGGATCACTCAATCCAGTGATTGAGATTAGCTCTTTCTAAGGGGCCCAACTGAGTAGGTTTATCCTTCCCTATCCACCTGAAGACGGAGACAGATCCAGTCTCCGAAACGTCGTGTTTCTTTGTCTTTCACATACCAGACGATGGGTGAAGTCCAAAATAAACCAAAAGAAGTAACATAAATACTCTTTGCCAAATATAATTAAAATGAACATTTCAAGGAGGATAAAGTAGCAAACATGGGAAGAAGGGGAATGTATGTAGGGTTTCATTCATTCATTCATTTCCTTTATTTTCCATATATCTATACAGGCAAAAAACCTAAGATGTGGAAATAGTCCCTTTGATAATAGATGTATACATGTAATAAATTACATAAGTCACACAACTAAAATAATAACAATAATAATAATACACACACTAGTCAAGTAACATAGGCAATAGAAAAAAAA